GGAGTGTTCTGGTACTGGGAATCGAACTCATGACCTTGTGCTTGCCAAGCAGGCACTGTGCCGCTGAGCTAAATCCCCAGCCCCTTAATTTTTTAAATTATATATAGAAACAACAACAGCTGGATTAATCATATCAAAGTGTCAACAACTATTTCTGAGTTACAGCATTATGGACAGATTAATGCTTTAGTGTTTTCTGCATCCAGTGATCTATAAAAATAGTGTATTACTTTTATAATCAGAAAGATAAATATGAAAAACTGTTCAACACAAATTAAAACAACACTGAGATTCCATCTCACATGGGAAAGAATGGTTGTCATCAAGAAATCAATCAATAACAAATGCTAGAGGGGGTATGGAGAAAAAAGAACCCTTCTCCACTGTTGGTGGGAGCATAGACTGGTTCAACCACTGTGGAAATCAGTCTGGAGAGATTCCTCAAAAAACTAGAATTGAGATCCCATTTGACCCAGCTATTCCCCTTCTGGGTATCTTCCCAGAAAAATTAAAAACATCATACCACAGCAAAATATGTGCACCCTGTGACCGGCTGCCTTTTGGCTCCTCACTGTGTTCCATGCTCCCTTGTACCTCCTGTCTCCTCAGCCTGGAATGCTTTTTCCTTCTTGATTATTTCCTGCTTATTCTGTTCAAATCTCTGTGCAAAAGCCTCCACACTGAGGCAGCTTTTCTGATATAGTAGACCAGGTCACATCTTGTTAAATGTTCTGCTAGCCTTCTGCACCTTTCCTCTCATTAGCTTATAAAATATGTTGATGTGACTTTCTTAAGGAACAATAAAGCCATCTATTATGTCATTTGTTCAAGAAAATACCTCACTTTTTTGCTGTTTGTTATGAAACACTCTGCTAGTTTCTTTTCCTTTTTAAATTTTATTTATTTATTTTTTTCTGGTACTGGGGATCGAACTCACAACCTTGAGCTTGCCGGGCAGACTCTGTGCCATTGAGCTAAATCCCCAGCCCTACCTTTTTTTATTTTAAAGGAAAGAAAATAAAAACAATGGTACAAAATTTCAAAACAAGATTGTAGGAGAGTAACAATGTTCACTACATTGTGTATTGTTATCTTCAACGTAGCTGCTCATAACACGACATATAGGCATGAAAAATCAGTTAGACAATACAGCATATACCTTTCCTTTCAATGAGCTAATAGCAGTTAGTAGTATCTGTCTTAACTTTCTTGTGTGTGTATATATATTTATCTATTTTTCCTTTCCCCTTCCTGCTTTTCTCCTTTCCCCTATGCCAGTTTCTCTTTCCTTTTGAGCATTTTCTTCCCATTTGATGATATCTATTGAATATTTTGGGTTTTGTTTAGTCTTTCAGCTTCTTATGCTAGGGAGACAATACGTTGCTTCCAAAAATGGACATCTGAGATGAATATGCACTTCTCAGATGAAGAAATACAAATGGCAAATAAATACATGAAACATTGTTCAACATCATTGGTCATTTGAGAGGTGCAAATTACAACAACACTGAGACTTCATGGATGTCATCAAGAAATTAACCAATAACAGGTGCTGGAGGAGCTGTGGAGAAGAAGGAACCCTTCTCCACTGCTGGTAGCAGTGTAGACTGGTGCAGCCACTTTGGAAATCAGTCTGGAGATTCCTCAAAAAACTAGTTTAGAGGTCCCATTTAACCCAGCTATTCTCCTTCTGGGTATTTTCCCAGAAAAATTAAAAACATCATTCCACAGCAATATATGTGCACCCATGTTTATAACAGCACAATTTGTGGTAGCAAAATCTTGGAAACAACCCAAATGCCCATCAACCAAGGAATGGAGAAGAAGAATGTGGTCTTTTTATACAATGGAGTACTACTCAGCTATAAAGAAGGATAAACTTGAGACATATATAGGGAAATGAGATTGAAGTCCATTCTTACAAGTGAAATAAATCAGTCTTGCATGTGTAAACATCTAAATAGTAGTTTAATTGATTAGCCAAAATTAATTTTTATTAATATACTAACGACTTTCAATTTTTCTTTTATTTTTTTTTCCTAAGCTTATCACTGCAGTTGTAATGAAGAACTGGAAAGAAATTGTTGTGTCTTGTGACCTTAAAAATTGGAGAGAGGCTTTAGCTGCAGTGTTGACTTACGCTAAGCCGGATGAATTTCCATCGCTGTGTGGTGAGAAATGAGCTTTGCGTTTAACTACATTACATCGTGTACTGTAAATAACATTAATGTCAAATTTTATTAGAAATTTTTGCAATCCTACTGACAAATAAGAATTATAAAATATATTACTTCTTAACCTTATTTCTAAAATACTGTTTAGTGAATCTGTTTCAAATATAACAAATTTGGAAGTTTGCCTCAGCCACTTAACTAGCTTGATAACCTAGGAAAAATTATTTTCTAAGCCTCACTTTATCTGTCTTTAAAATGCCACATAGACATTTCTCACTTAATAAATATTAACTTGGATAAAATTAATAATTGTATTTGAGTAGAAATTATCATTAGAGGCCATGACTGAATTGATGGTTCAGGAATAGTAATTTATATTTGCAATAAAAGAAGTTTAAGGCTGATAATATAAGAGCAACAATCATTTGCTACCTTTCAAAGTATTATGAGAATACTAAAAATTGCATAATAGTAAATATTTTCACAAATAATTGTTGATAGAGCTGTTGTTTATACTGTGCTGTTAGGAGTTTTGTGTTCTAAAATTGTTTTAGAACTGGTTTTCTACTATAACTAATGGAAATCAGTTCTGCAGCTAGATAGAATCCTGTGAAATATCTTATCATCTATAATAAATTTGTCATCCACTTCTATTCATTTAACAAAGTACTGAGATTCACAGTGATTTTGTGTCTCTGATACTCACTGGTTGTGAAGTTTAGTCTGTACATAGGAAACTCAGGGAGCTGCTCACAACCATGTAGCAGATTGCTTTGGGTGTAATCTGGGTCTTCCTGTCTTTCAGATCTTTTGGGCGCCAGGCTTGAAAGTGAAGGAGATAGCATCCTACAGACTCAGGCGTGTCTCTGCTATATTTGTGCAGGGAATGTAGAGAAATTAGTTGCATGTTGGATGAAAGCTCAAGATGGTAGCAGCCCTTTGTCTCTTCAGGTTAGTATCTTTGCAACAAGAGGTGCTTACTTTTAGTCTTTTCTTTTACCCTACTTGTGGTCAAGATGTGTTCTAGAAACTAATTTGTTTTAGAAGTTTACTGCTTTCACCCTACTTATTTACATTGTCAAAGGTTGTTTGTGGGATAATTACATGCATTTATTGGTATCTTTGAAGCAGCGAAGTTTGAGATGGGAAGAGTGAAATGGCATCGCAGCTGTTTGTAGGATCAGAGTTGTGATTTGGCACATACTCGGTGCAGTAGATGGCAGGAGCACTGAAGACTCCCTAGGGTGGTGGTGGGAGCCTACCGCACCTGCGCCCCAGCAGGGGTGCAGCGCCCTCTCTCAGCCCGCAAGCCAGGTCACCCCAGCAGAGGTTGACAGGTTATCAGCATGCATACAGTAAGATCACATTAATTGTGCAAAAGCATGCCATGTGAAACTTTCACCTTCAACTTAAAATCTGTTTGTATCATTGAAAGCTCTGTTACTGTGTTTTTCTTTTAAGATGAGATGTTAACATGAGTTGTGTTTTCTAAAGTAAAACCTCAGGCATGCAGGTTTAATTGCAGTGTTGGCACTTTGCAATAAATAAGTGGGTTTCAGGTTGCAGTTTGGGCACTCGTCTCAAAAGGTTCACCATCACTGCCCTAGGGTTTACCCGGAGTACCTCCTATTTCAGTGGCCCCGCTGCCTTGGGCAAGGAAGGAAGCAGTGTGGCCAAAGGAGTAGGAGGCGTCTGTAATACCAATAGAGAACCTTTGTGATTAAGGGAAAATGAAAGGAGAATATAAACAGAATGTCAAGTACCCCAATACATAAGCAGGAGGAGGCACAACATTGTGGGGATTCTTCTGAGGCACAGAATAACTATATCTTTTAGATTTTTCCCAAACTGTTTCATCTGTAGAGACTCATAGTATTTCAGTGCAATATTTTTTTCTCTCAGGAAAGAGAGCTTATCTCTAGTGTTGTTGCTTCAAAGGTCATTGTATTGGAACTAAAAATCAGGTAGGAAATTGAGGTTTTTCTTCTAAATGATCCTGAGGAAAAAACACTTGTTCTGTACTTCTTGTTTGGTGTACTTGTGAAAGATAGATGGGGTATTCTTATGCATGCTGTCTGGATCGTATCTCACTCTTGTTCAAAGCATTGGTGTTAAAAGATCAGATTGAGAAACTTTGAGTCACGATATGTATTAATCAGTTTTGTATGACTGGTGAACTGTTTTGAGTAATTAACTTTTAAAGAGGAAAGGTTTGGTTGGCTTCATGGTTCTGGAGGTGCAATCTGAGATCAAGCAGCCCCTGGCTCCAGGCCTCCGGTCAGGGCAGCACATCCTTGCAAGAGCACAAGGTCAGGCAGATCCCATACATTGTGAACTAGCAAGTAGGAGAGAGGAGAGGCAGACAGGAGGAAATGTCCTGGGCCCCACTCCCCTTATGGAGTGTGCCCCAGTGACCCAAGGACCTCCCACTCAGCCCCACCCCAGGGGGGCTGCTCTGGGAATAGGCCTTTCACATGGTTGGCCTGTCAGGGACATTCCTCTTCTAAACTGTAGCAGATAGTCCTGTTAGAGGTCATGTGCCTTTGTTGTCTGACACCTCATTGCAAGAGTGTTGTTACAGGATGGGTGGTATATGATATTCTCACCCACAGTTCCTCCTCTTGTAGGACACAGTTTTTGCCTTTGATATCTATCACTTTCACTTTTGTTTTTTGGTACCGGGAATTGAACTCAGGACCTTGAGCTTGCTAGGCAGGAGCTTATGCCACTAAGGTATATCCCTGGCCTTCACTTTTGATATTTGTGTTTTACATCACTAGACAAGCAGTTTGTGATCTAATTAGGAATATGTAGGCGAAAGTGATAAGCTCTTCATAAGATTTTTTCCATCTTCTTTTTCACTTACCTAAATGGTGGTCAGCATCTATTTCATAGTTTTCAAACTGGGATAATAAGTACTGTACTTTTAATATGTTTTAGAAATCTTAGTAACTCTTTACCTTTCCCTTTTCTCATTTAGGATCTGATCGAGAAAGTTGTCATTCTGCGAAAAGCCGTACAACTCACCCAGACCACAGACACTAACACTGTAGGGGTTCTTCTGGCTGAGAAGATGAGTCAGTATGCCAATTTGTTGGCAGCCCAAGGTAGTATTGCTGCAGCCTTGGCTTTTCTTCCGGACAACACCAACCAGGTAATTAGAGTTGACAGTTTGTCTTCTTTCTTTCTTTCTTTCTTTTTTTTTTTTGCGGTACCGTGTCTTCTTTCTTTCAACATGTGAATAAGGTGACCCTAGTAGATAGCATTTGGCAGTAGGCATACATGTACTAAGTGGAATGTTTTGGAGCAGTTGAATCTCCAACACCTAAGTGTAGGTAAATGTTACTGGCATTCTTCAAGGATCACTTTAGGTGTATCTAAACTGTGTCAGAGAAATGGGGTACTTTGGTAGTATATAGGTCCCTTTGTATTCTACTGTAGTAGTTTAGCAAAATGAATGAAGGAAAAACCAACTTTATATTTTTCAAAGACCAAATGCTGATTCTGGGTATGAGATTCTTTGTAGGATTTTTTTATGTTGAAAAGCTGAATATTGATATGTAAAATGTTGAAATGAATATTGATATGTAAAATGATACTAAAATTTTAAAATTCTCATGTATCATCCCAAATATTAGCAGTGAAGTATATTCTCTGTACTAGTTTATTCTACCATTTGTAGATGAGTATATTTTTAAAATATTGAAGGTAGAGGGAACTACACCACATTCCCTAACTATAGAATCCAGCTCTTTCTGAATTTTTAAAGGTAATATTAGGTAGAATAGAAACATAGTCTTATTTTGAGGACTTGGCATAATAGTTTAAAGACTTTTCAAGTGTACTTTTTAGGCTCATTTAGAATATTATTTTTAAAGAGAAAAGAAAACAATATAACAAAGATAAAAACAAAACACAAAAACAATTAAATACAGAATTTCAAAACAAGATGATAGGAAGTTAACAATGATTGAGGCAAGGAGAAAAATAAGACTTTTTATATTGTGTAGTTTTATTTTGATATCAAGATAGAAGACCCTTTAAGGCTTAGATAATCTAAGCCTCTTAGTTTGTTTAGCCTTAAGATTACACTCCCACCCACTTCACTCCTAAGGCTTGAACCAGTGCTTGCACACGATAGGCAGGCATGCTACCAGAGCTAGCAAAGAAGCCCCCACCAAGATAGGATCTCACTATGTAGTCCAGGTTGGCATCAAACTTGCTGTGATCCCCCTTCCTCAGCCTCCAGAGTGCTGGGATTATGGGCATGCACCACCATGCCCTGCCTTATTTTTTGTTTTTTTGAGACAGAGTCTGTGTAGTTCAGGCTGGCCTCAAACACATGGCAGTCTTACTGCCTCAGCCTCCCCAGTGCTGGGATCACAGGTGTGTGGCACCACACCTGGCTCTTTGGACTTTAAAGAATATTCTTTATGTAAAAACATAATTTTGATGTTATTTCCCCTGATTTAGTTCAGTAAACCCAGCATTTTCTGGTGAAAATGCCCTGAGACTTTGATTTTTTTGTTTGTTTCCTTTGTTTTTGTTTATTTTCTTGGTACAGGGAATTGAACTCGGGACCTCATGCTTGCCAGGCAGGTGTGGTTCTGCTTAGCTATATTCTCGGCCCCTGAGACTTAGTGATAACTGTTATAGTATATCATTTTCCACCATAAAATACAATAAAGTATATGTTAAAAGCTCAGATGAGCCAGGTATGGCTGTACGTTCCAGTAATTCTAGTTCCTTGAGAAGCTGAGTCCCTCTGTCAAATAGAACTTTTTAAGTGGCTGGGCATGTAGCTCAGCGCAAAGCCCTAGGTTCAGTCCTTAGTATTGTGCAATCCTCCACAGAATAAAGTTTAAATGACCATTTTAAACCTTTTACAAATTTATAAGATTGTATAATTTTTCATGTATTAAAATAATTTCTGAAGCATTTTAACAAATTGCTTTATTATTTGTTAATATGTAAAAAATATGTATGATTAACTTGTAAATTTATGTAAGATTTAAATGTATGAGCCATCGATTTGAATTTGAGATCTTAATTTATTTCAGAAAATGTCTTTTGAAAATTAATTTTTGTCTCTTACATCACTGTTTTCTTTCATTGCCATCATTAGCAGTTAATTCTCTTCTGGGGTTGTTTTATGATTTATGAGCATTATTACTCTTTTTTTTTTTTTTTTGGATTAGCAAAAATTAGGTTTTATTTTCCCAGCATCTTAGTTCCTTCCCCTGTTGCTGGGAGAGAATATCTGACACCTACAACTTAAGGAAGGAGAGGCTTATTTTGGCTCATGTTTCAGTCCATATTCAGCTGGCTCCAAAGCAGGACTGTGCAGCAGAGAGGTCTGGCGGAGGAGAGCTGCTCACGGTATGACGGACTGGAAGCAGGGGCTCAGGAGCATTATTACTTAACCCCAAGAAAACAGCAGAGCAGTGCTGAAAGTGACAGTAATGTATGGACATAATTCAAATCCCTGCCTCAGTTAGGTTAGAAGTTGTTATTTCTGATGTGTGCCTAGAAGTCTAGCACTTTGAGGCTGAGGCAAGAGGATCAAAGGTGTGAGGCCAGCCTGTACTACATGGTAAGATCCTGTCTCAAAAAAAAAGAAAAACAACAACAACGAACCAAGCACTAAAAGAGGAGTTACTGCCTCAGCCTCCCCAGTGCTGGGATCATAGATCTTTCTTTGGTGCCAGACTTAGGTACTAGAAACCCTAATGTTGAACCCTCAAATGTCAGGGTTTATCCTATAACACACAGCATGTGACCAAAGGGGGCGGTCTCTTGCAGGAACAAATCACTATAAGAAAATCAGCATGCTATTATACAGTTGGGTGAATCATCACAGTTTGCTCTATCTTCTTCCATTGCTTCTTACAGCCAAATATTGTGCAGCTTCGTGACAGACTTTGCAGAGCCCAGGGAGAGCCCATACCAGGACAGCAGACACCAAAAATTCCTTATGAGAGGCAGCAGTTGTCCAAGGGCAGGCCTGGACCAGTCGCTGGCCACCTACAGATGCCAAGGGCTCCTACTCAACAATATTATGCCCATGTGAGTGCATGGTCCAGATGGAGGAGGAATATTTAAGCATTTGTGTTCAAATTGATAGTTTTCATTTGCTGTACAGCATATCTTTTATGTGGTAAAACTAGACAATGTTATCTATACTGTTAGGATCCTTAAAAATGGCATTTCTTACTGCATAGCAAGACCCTGTCTCAAAAAAACAAAAGAAAAAGGCATTTCTTATCTACAATCTAAGATCATCATTTTAATTTGTTCAAACATTATATTTTAGGTATGAATTAGTTTTAAACTCTCTAGGGGAGATTTGTGATAGTATCTGTCAGACCTACCTCACTTATGTACATCTGCTTTTGAAATGTCTGTTTATCTAACAGTAAATTAGTGGAAACAACCCTTTAAGTGATTTAGTTAATTTTATAAAATATTTTTAGGAAGTAGTCTATTTTGAGCATTCTTTTCTACATTTTCAATATAGATTTGCTGTGTCTTCTGTGTCTGCACAATAAAGAATATTCAGAACACGGACATTCCGTGGACAAATTGACTATTAGAAAAAAGTGAATAGCTGACAGTATATGAAGTAGAGTATTGAAATGTGGAAAGGATTAATAATTTTTATGTATTTAAATTAGTAAATTTGCTGACTTAAAGCGTGGTTTTATTGTCTTTTACTGTTTCGTGTAGAAACTTTTACTTCCAGACCAGCAGATAACCTTCATGTATGTCCTTAGATGAAAAGTATTTCTTTCATAATTAATAAATGGTCTTGATATTAACAGATACCCTGCCTATTTTAAGATAGAACAAATTAGTGATAGCTCTGATGGTACATTTTTACATTTCATTATGGAAAAAGTAAATCTAAAATCACAGAAAACTAGCTGGGAATGGTTGCATATCTCTAATTCTAGCACTCAAGAGGCTAAGACAAGATCACTGCGTTCAAGTCCAGTCTGGAATATGTAGTGAGAATCCTGCCCATCTCAAATAAATCAAATTGCAGCAGACTTAAAAAAAAAGTCATGTTCTGTTGTCTGTTACACTTTGGATTAGAAGTCAAGATAACTTACATTTGACTAATCTGTTAACTATGTAGAACACTTGCTTTCTTTTGTTTTGGTTTTTTGAGATGATCTCGATGTGCAGTTTAAGCTGGCTAGAACACTTGCTTTCCCCCGCCCCCATTTATTTGACAAATATTTATTGAGACACTGCTGTGGATTCCTGGCATTGTTCTAGCTGTTGGGAGTCCGCTGGAGAGCAAAGTACACAGAACTCCCCACCCTCATAGAGGTTATACTGGTCCTAGGAAGTGACTTCTCTGGGGAGGTCTGTGATGGCTGGGAAAACTGAGGCAGAAAACTCAAGCAGGCTGCCCACGTTAGAAGACACAGAGTTTTCATTTCTCAGCATTGCACAGCTGGTTAATGACCAAGTTGAGGTTAGAACTTTTAAGCATCTTGTGTTTAGACCAGACTGTCTTGCAGGGCACTAAAGCAAGGCAGACTCTACACTGTGAGAAGCCGGTTACTGTCTTTAGGAAAGATAAAAATATTGAAAGATGTTATGTTTAATTTACCATTCTCATGTTGTAAGAAAGGAAAAATAGCTAGATGTGGTAGTTCACACCTATAATCCCAGCATTTGGGAGGCTGAGGCAGGAGGATCACTGTGAGTTTGAGGCCAGCCTGAACTGCATAGTGAGATTCTGTCTTTAAAAAAGGAAAATGAATTGAATCACAAATTAGTGATTTTCTTGATTAAAGCTTATCATCCACTGAATGAATGAAGGCAGTGTCTTGCTTGAAAGCAGTGTTTATAGGCAGGTAACGGGATAAAAGGGAGTCCAGATTAGTAGGAGATCCACTCCCACTTCAGCCAGCACAGTTTTACTTTTCTATACAAACAAGGGGTGATTTTTAATGTTCAGCTTCAGTGTTCTCTAATTGTGTGATATTTTTTTTTTTTTTTTTAAGCCTTGTGTGCAACTAACTTGATTTTCATGGCTCTAATGAAATCCAGAAAAGGGAATTTATAGCAGTATGTTTGCAGATTACTAGTAGCATGAATCATATTAATGCTTCAAAAATCATAATTGTAGTTTTTCCAGAACGTCTTTTTTCCCCTACTTAGAGGATCTAATTTTCCCCACTTATTTTTGATGCATGAATGGCATTGTTCCTGTGCTTTGATTAGGTTTTCGTATTGATTTTTCCCTGCCTCTCTCCTCTTTCCTTGTGACTGTGCTTTTCTTTTGGCATCCCTGCTACTTTGAAAGCAATCATCTGACTGATACATGTTATCCTGCTGTTTCTACTTTTTGCTTTGCATCTGGCTATTAGTACTTTTTGGGTTGTTTTTTTCTTTTAACATTTTCATTTTTATTTTCTGTGATTGGTATTTCTGTGTTCGATCCAGGTTAGAATTGCCCCCACTGCCACTACCTGGAGTAACAAAACTCCTACTGCCCTTCCCAGCCATCCACCTGCAGCCTCTCCCTCTGACACACAGGTATATCCTTCATTATTCCTCTTTGAGCAGGATTCTGCTCACTGAAATATATAGTTATATATCCCCTACCCCCTCCTCAGGTTCTTCACCCTTACTGCACATCCATCTGCCTACTCATTGCATTGTATTGCTTTTAGAATGCAAGAGGCAACTTTTAAGACAATTTCCTTATCCCTTCTCCCCTTTTGTAGTTTTAAATTGATTTGAGCTCGAAAAATAATAACCAAGATTCTAGCAGTAGTATAATCTGATGGTTTTACTGAAGACTTTTTTCTTTTCTATTAGTTTTTCTTCGATTTACTTTTTGTTTAAGCGTTGCAGAAATAGAACACTAAAGTCTCCTTTGTGGCATTTATTACTTATATTTTCAGATTGTGGAGTAGTGGATGGAAATGAATAGAGACCAATAATCCTGGTGATTTATTATCATACTGTTGATACTAGTTTACAAATGTGTTAGCATCTTTTGCCATTCCTTGCAGTTACTGTTTTGGGCCTGTCTGATCTTTTAAGTCTTTCAGAATGTGTTGCTCAGAAAGTAATTTATACACAGTGAAGTGGTTCTTTTTTTCAATAAACATAGAATTCCATTTCAGAGATTAGAAAGCCATCTATAAATTTATATCTTGGTCCCAAATGTCATCCTTTTTTTTTTTTTTTTACCATAATCTTTTCTAGGTAGAAAACCCTCCACCCCCAGGTTTCATAATGCATGGAAATGTCAATCCAAATGCTGCTGCTCAGCTTCCTCCATCTCCAGGTCACATGCACAGCCAGGTACCACCTTACCCACAGCCACAACGTAAGTAGTGTGACCTGAACTCCTTAACAGCAAATTGTGTTTCGGATAGTAACTGTTTTGAAGCACCAAAGCCATAATCGAATCAGTTTTGGCAAATAAAGCAGGAGCCATTCTGTGTAGAACTCCTGAGTCCCTTCTGTAGAGAAACAGGATTTCCTTGAAAGCCACCCTAAATGAGAATGCTGGGAAGGAACTTCCCTGTTACCCTGTTCAGGGTATTGGCTCCTGTCCTTGAGGCATCATTGCTAAAACCTGTTAAGGAGGGTCATATGCCCCATCGATGTAAAACAGAATTTTAGAAATTATTTGGAGCGGGGCGTGGTGACACGTGCCTATAATCCCAGCACTCTGGAGGCTGAGGCAGGAGGTCACCTTGAGTTCAAGGTCAGCCTGGGCCAGATGGTGATTTCAAGGCCAACCTGAACTGCAAATTGAGACCCTGTCTCAAAAAACTAAAAAAAAATTTATTTCATATGTAATTTTTTTCTTTCGGGCAAGTCTGTACAAATCATTTTTGCACAGTTGTTTTCAAGAGGTAGGTATTTGTTACTGTTTTTTATGTATTTTTTAGGACTTTGTCTTTTAAGTAGTTTTATATTCATAGCAAAAGTGAGCAGAAAGTACAGAGTGCCTGCATAGGTGCCGCCTCCCCGTTACCTGCATTCTGTACCGCAGTAGTCAGCACACCTGCAGGGATGCCCAATGACCATGCCAGACTCCTTATTTCAGACTTGGGTGCACTCTCATCTTCATACACTCTGTGGGCTTGGACAGATGTGTAATGGTCAGTGGCTACCTTTGGCGTGTGTTTGTATTTTGTTTTACTTTTAGGAAATAATGGCACTTGGAAAGTAAAAAAATGCCCTATGGCTTCAAAATTAAAAGCACAAAACCTAAGTAAATAAAATCTCAAAGGGGAAAATTAGCATAAGACAAAATAACTTTTTAAAAAAGTAAGAGCAATTACCTAGTAAGAACTAATCCTAAAGAGTGTGTTTTACGGTAAGGTTTTTCTTACCTAAAGTAAATACAGATTTGATACAGTCTGTCTTTCACTCAAGCGCTCCGTGTGAAAGTGTTGTCTTAGAGCACTCACCGGAAGCGGTATAGTTCTCCTGGACGCCTTCTGCAGAGGCCCGTCTCTCCCGCTCCCTCATCACCTGGAATGTGGTGGTGTCAAGATCTCCCTCATTAGGGTTCTGGATGAGACCAGGGGACTTTTTCTGTAAAAGGGGCTTTTGGGTTGTGGGATTCCTGCCTGGTTCTATCTGGTGGTTGCTGGGTATCAGTGCAGTCTTTTCCTAGGACAGGAGAGGTCTAAGTAAAGGGCTGAAGGCTTCAGAAATTTTCATAACCAGTAGATATCTAGGCTGGCAGTTTTCAAATATTAGAGCTAACGAAGTATACTTAGGTCATTGGAGCCACAAAAACCATAGTGTGTTGCTGCTGTTGTTGTTGCCTTGTGATGCTAGGGATTGAACCCAGTGCCTTACATATGCCAGGTAAGCCTTCTTCCATGGATCCATACCCCAGCCCATAAGTGTCAGTTTTTGGTTTTAACTTATTGTTACAGATAATTATAATCGTTTCCATAGGATGAGCTAACTTTTTGGTTTTGTTGTCTGAATAAACCTGAAACTAATTATAATTTCTGTTTCTTCTCCTTGGTGTAGCTTATCAACCAGCCCAGCAGTATTCCTTCGGAACAGGGGGGCCGGCAATGTACCGACCTCCGCAGCCTTCTGCTCCTCCTGCCGCAAGCGCTTACCCTAACACCCCTTATGTCTCTTCTACTGCTTCCTATTCTGGGCATGCTCCACTCTACACAGCACAACACCCGACCTCTTCTCCTACCTCCAGCCCTGTTGCTGCTTTCCCTCCTCCTTCTTCCTCGGGGGCATCCTTCCAGCATGGTGGACCAGGAGCTCCCCCGTCATCCTCCGCTTACGCGCTGCCTCCTGGAACAACAGGTACACTGCCTGCTGCCAGTGAGCTGCCTGCATCCCAGAGAACAGGTCTGCGCTTGAGGGGATTGGTTTGCCTGCCTGATGTTTTGTGAACAGGGGCGGGGGTAACCCTCTTTGTACTGGTAATGTGAGGTGGCAGTTGAGTTTTCATAACAAATTCTGTGAGTGTGATTCTCTTATAATAAACTTAACTGCCAGATGAAGAAAGCTTAGCACTTCAGAAGAGTAAGTATGTAATCTGCCACGGAACCTAAAATGAGTGGTAAGAAATTCATTGGTAAGTGGTAGCTGAAATCAGATTTAGTTGACATTAATTTCTTTACTTGAACAAAGGTATGCTCTGTTCTTAGTTGAAAATTTAGAAATTACTTGTTGCTTAAAATCTTCATGGAAATTAAACAGTACAGACTCTCAATGAGGTTGTAGAAATTTTACAGTTGTAAATATTTCTAAGAGCATGATCTCAGTATGCTTCACCATGAAGCATATTTCATATGTAATTTTTTTCTTTCGGGCAAGTCTGTACAAATCATTTTTGCACAGTTGTTTTCAAGAGGTAGGTATTTGTTACTGTTTTTTATGTATTTTTGAGGACTTTGTCTTTTAAGTAGTTTTATATTCATAGCAATAGGACCTCACAAGGAGGACCTCACAAGGAGGTCCTATGAGACAGTACAAAGCTATATCCCCAGCCCTTAGTTGCCTAAGCTGGCCTTAAACTTGCAGTGCTCCTGCCTTGGTCTCTCAGGGTGCTGTGCTTACAGGCATGCACCACTATGGCTGACTAAAATATTACTACTACTTTTAAAGTCTTGTGGAGAATTGGTCCAGGGTTATACACGTCTCTTAAAACCATGGTACCAATCCCATATATAATACATTTTTTCGTATACATATGTATCTATGGTAAAACATAATTTATGAATTAAGCACAATGAGATTAATGGACAATAGCTAATAAAATAGAACAGTTATAACCTGTAATAAAATGGCCAGCATCACAATTCTTGTACTTTGGAGCCTTTATTAAGTAAAGCAAAGTTACTTGAACAAAAGTACAGCAATCCCATGGCAGCTGATCAGGTACCTGAGAGGGGCCCTGAAGCATTGACAGGCAGGTAGCTGTCTAGTGTGGGCATGTTGGATAGCAGGATGTTCACATGTACCATTGTAAGTGTAAGACAGAGCAGGATGGCATGAGATCTTTTCAGACTACTTAGAATGGTGCAGTTTGAAATATTTTTGCATTATTTCACAGTGCCCATGAATTATTAATATTCCTCATTTTTGACCATAAATAACTGAAACTACAGAAAGTTAAACTACAGTTAAGGGAGCACTACTGTATGTTCATCCTCCATTACTGTACATAATGAAATTTCAGGAATACACTACAGGTGTCTGAGTAGTTTGGTGTTTCTAGAGAAAGGAGTGCCAGCTTGTTTGTAGAGCGCGCGTTTCGTAAGTGCCTGTTCTTTTTGACAGGACCCATTTGAGTAAGTGCATAATGATGAGAGTTCTTGAGGAAGAGAAGTAGCATGGGCTCAGGGAAATCCCTGCTTCAAAGTCGGTGCTGGGCATGTTGGTGCGGCAACTCGGAGGTGTGGCAGGAAGATTGCAAGTGTGAACCTAGTTGAGCACCTTGGAGAGACACTATTTCAATGTAAATAAAGGGCAAGGGATGTAACCCAATGAGAAGGTCAAGGTTCAGTCCCCAGTACCAGGTTAAAAAAGAAAATAGTACAGGAAAGTAGGGAAAGGAAGTGACATGGAGGAACTAACCTTGTACATGATCCAGTACACGCTACATATTACTTAGATCTTGCAGCCCTGAGAATAGATATAATTAGGGTTTTTTTTTTTAATTGCTGATAACGGAACTGAGTTTCTTAGGAGTTACATAATGGCACAGTGATAGTCTCCAGTTTGGGATACAAACCTGGGATTGAGTCTTCAAAACGTTCGTTCATTCTGCATCAGAGATTCTAGTCTGATACAAGTGATAGAAAACTTTCAGTGTTGGAATTACAAAAATTATTTAGCAGTGCTGTTCTACTGTTGTAAGCATTTGTTACTTTACAGTATAAATATTTGCATGGGTGTTTTTTCCTCTTGGGCACAGATGAGTCTTGGCTTTTGGCTTTTGCACAGAGTAGCTGGAATGTTCTAACCTGGCTGAGAAACAATGGCTGATGAGAAGCAGCACAGAATCATTTCTGGTACTCAGCGCGCACTGTCTCTGCCGGCTGCATTGTTACTTCGTGCACGTTAACAGTCTCCTGTGTTGTAACGGTTACAGTTCGCCATGTTTTATTTCTGCATTTCCTAAAAAAATTTTTTTTAAGTTATATAAGTAATTGTGATTGAAATTTCTCTATTCTAATGTATCTTAGATCATGATTTTGTTCAGGATTTAGGAATTCTAATTGGCCAGTGGTTAATTTTTAATAGAAACAAACTAGATTTTCAGGGTCAGTATCAATGAACCATAGAATTACATACTCAAGGCTCAGAGAAATGAATGTTGGAACCAGCAAAATGTTCATTCGGTAAATTCTTAATGAGCACCTCAGTCTGCAGTAACTTCATGTTCTCACTAGCCTCTGCAATCCACTTCTCTACTTCCTGTCTCTTGGTAGGACCTTCTAGGTACCTGATAGAAGTAGAGTCATGCAAATTGATAAAAAATTTGAACAGGGCTTATCTGGGTCAAAATGAAATATGCTGAAATATAGTACATGGTTTAAGGCTAGGAGTTAGTCTGGCAGGTATCACGGAGAGGGTGTGGTTATTGTGAGGCTCTTCCCTTGGTTCTGTGGCCCTAGCAGCCCCGCTGACCTGTTCCTTTTGAGAGTCCTACGGAAGCTGATTTGATTCACTTTTACTCCTAACTTAAATTTGCTTTCATTGTGACTTTACTGTCATCTTACCAAGGGAGGATATGAAGATTACCTCACAGGCTTCTCTGTGCTGCTACTAGTTCATGAAGTCAAGACACCCCGCCAGGCTTGCATGTCTGTGTAACTCCCTGCCCCAAGAGGTCAGAGACAAAACAGTTGTCTTTACCACCTGCTGGCCATGGAGGGGAAGTGAGTGCTGTTGAAACTTACAGAGCCAGCCCCAAACTCTGACGGTATTTCTGGGTGTGTAACACATTGGCCCCTCAGCCTTGGTGCTGAAGTCGGGCTAGAAAGTGCATCAGTGGTGGGAATCAGGTTGGTCCTGCTGAAACACAAACATACGACTCCCCGAGCACTTACTAACTGTAGGCTAAGGAAGTTACTGTCTTGTATGGGGTGTTAGTTGTAAGGTCACAGTTCATTGTTGCAATTAAAAATAGAAAATCACTATGGATAATTATCGTTGATGACTGTTTTCTTCCATTAAGCAGGATGAAGAAGTTGGCTTGTTTAAGAGCCATATTGTATGAAAAATGTATTAATCAGTTAATCCTAGAATCTCATTCCACATGGCAAGGTTTTAGTCTATTGGAATGCCTCTCTCACCTCACAGAATGTTTTGGTTTTGCTTCAGAAGTACCAGGGCCTTCACTCTACATCCTCAGCCCTTTTTTATTTTTTTATTTTAAGGCAGGGTTTCACTTACTTGGACTGGGGTCAAACTTGTGATCCTTCTGCCTTAGCCTCGCAGAGTGCTGGGATTCGAGGTTGCACCACCACAATCATCTTCAGCTTCTTGAGCTCAAACTGAGTTGAATTCACTCTTAATTAGTATATTCTCTTGGTTCCTCCCTTGCCACATGAAGGTGGTTGAATTACAAATTCTCTTTTGCTTTGAGGTTGGCCTGACCTGAACCCTTACTGCCTGGCAGTTGGAGCTGCTATATTCTGGCCTGCTTCCCTCTTCTCTACTGCTAGAAACACCAGTTGTAGCAAAAGAAGATCTGCGAGGCGTGTGCTATGTAGTCTCCAAGTCCATGCATCCCCAGAAGAGTAGTGTGAGATGGTTGTGGATTTCTTGGCCCTGTTCCTTACATTTATATTCATATTCATGGTGTGACCCCGGAAATTACATGTTCTTCAGAATGTAGAAAGGCCCGCTGGGGCACTGCAAACCTGGCAGCAAAGAGTAGCACACGGTGCCAATGGTGTTGGCTTGTTGGTATTAACAGATGCAGTGCTAGAGTCTGCAGAGCCATGTGGACTTTTTCCGTTTCTCTTTAAATTCCTACTGCTTGATACCAGCAGTATCTGTGTCATAGCGGTAGGTGGCTGGAAAGACTGGACTTCAGGCCCTGCCATTTTACCTAATGAATTGGAATCCAAATTTAAACAGCCAGATTCTTCTCAGCTGATGTGGATCATAGGTTTGAATAACCTTAGTTTATGTGGTATAATATGTTGGGAAATACTATCCTCGGGGGTGCTGCAAAATTTGATTTGTCAAATAGAAAATGGGATTATATCTGTAATCCCAGCTACTCAAGTGGCTGAGGCAGGAGGATCACAAGTTCAAGGCCAGCCTGGGCAAATTAGCAAGGTCCTGTCTTAAGTTTGTAGAAGACTAAAGGTGTAGCTCAGTGGCAGGGCACTTGCCTCACATATGCAAGGCCCTGAGTTTGATCTCGGGTAGATCAAAGAAAAAAACAAAACAGGCAAATGACTAAGGAAATAAGTGTTATTTTAAATAAAAGGATAGCATTTACTCTCAGAATAGCACAGTAAAAGAAAAAAAAATGATGATGTTTGAGTTAATTGATCTGATATAAAGGAATTCACTTGGGCTAAAAACTTGCTTTCTTAATTGGATAGATGATATTTCACATGACTTGTTTTAAGGAGTAAATTTTGGAGCTGAGCTCCATGGGCTGAGGAGGAGGATTGCAAGTTTGGGGCCAGGCTGGGCTGTAGAGTAAGATAGACATTGTCTAAGTAAAGAAAGGAAGTTTTGTGCTTTTTTGACGTTAGTTTGCTTTTTTGTGGCGGGGGGTTGATGGAGGGAGAAGCAGCAATTATAAGTAGAGTTAAGAATGTCTGCAACGATACTATTGAAGTGACTTCTACATTTTGTCTGCAGAAAATCAGTTTGTCCAAGACCAGACACTTATGTTTGAAGGTGAATTGGTTGCAAAATATACCTTTGGAAATCTTTCAATCACTGAATATAATTAATGGACATTAACAGTAATGCATGTGAGCTACAAAGATGATGGTGTTATAAATCTGATCTGAGTCTTTTATTATTTGGCATCTTAATTAAATCAAATTTTACACCTGATTGGATTTACATGACAAGTAGCTTTAAATCATAAAAGCTGTTTATTTTATATAAACATAAAGATACCTATACCAAGATTGTCTTCCATACAGTTGAGGTTGGTAGTGACGGGAGAAATTCGAATGATTAACCTGTGTGTGACCAGCAGTGTTAAGAATTTTTAAGCAAATACAGCATGTGATTTAATATTTTGTGGTTAACTCTAGCATTTTGAGCCTTATTTGGCATTTTACCCCCTAATGAACATGTAGGAAATTCTGTTTTCAAAATTAAAGCAAATGATGCCGGGCATGGTGGTGCACGCCTGTAATCCCAGCACTCGGGAGGCTGAGGCAGGAGGATCATTGCACGTTTGAGGCCAGCTTGGGCTACACAGTGAGTTCAAGACCAGCCTGAACTGCATGGCAAGACCCTTTTTCCAAAAAAAAAAAAAAAAAAAAAAAAAAATCAAATGAGCACATGGTTAGATCTACAGTTTTAGAAGTTTTTTGACATCATTCATGTTACCACAGTGTCTTTCGTTGCTCAGCAGTTTGTTGTGACTTAGTATCATACATACCAGTTAAACAAGGAAAAGTAAAAATACTGAAAGAAAATTTATTGGAAGGGGAGTTTTTTTTCTCTATATACACAAACTGAAGGTTTTTTTTTTTTAAAGCAAGTATTTGGTTTCTTATAGGAGATAGCAAAACTCAAACTTAAATGTAAAATTATTATATTGTTTTGAAAGTATCCTATTATCTAGAATGTTTGATTTCTTGAAGATATTGGTATTAAAACACTTAATGAGTTCTGTTACTGGTGTCCATTTTTAACTTTACAATGATAGAACTTTGTATTTTTGAGAGGAATATATAATTGACAGTATAATTGTTGTCAACCTGTACAGATACTTTAATGCCTTTTTCTACTTTATCGGTAGTTCTTAAGGCAAAGATTATAAACATTGCTACTGTCATATAGTTTGACTGTTTTTTTAAATAGTATTTCTACTATGTTTAGAGTATTTGTAGATGATTCACTTGTGTTTAATTGTTTTTTTTTTTTTCAAGGAAGAAATTGCTCCCATTTTTTGGGTGGTGTTGTATATATCAGAAGACTTTTTTTTAGTAGACTCTGGTGGTTTACTTTTTCTTCATTAGGAAAAAATAGCTGATCTTTATAGGCTGTGCACTAGTATAGATATAAAGACTTCATCATCCTTAAGTTTGACATAGCTTTTCCTGTTAACTACAAGTAATACTAAGAAAACCTGCCTGTCAAGTCAAGGCCTTATGACTATTAAAGGTGTGAGTTTTAGAATCCAAGATTATGTAGTGAACCCCACAACTCAGTTGGTAAAATCTGTGTGACAGTTGTTCAGGTAGGGAGGATTTCAAAGTATTAGATGATGAGTTCAGTTTCATTTTCTTCCTTTAAATATTCTAAAGAAAATGTCTTGTGTTACCTATTCCAGGTTCTCAGAATGGTTGGAATGATCCCCCGGCTTTGAACAGAGTGCCCAAGAAGAAGAAGGTACTAGAACAAGATGTCCAGCCAGTGGCCTCCAGATCTTATGGGATCACATAGCCACCTGGCGCAGCCCACATTTCACTGATCTTTCAGACACAAAGCTTACTGATTGATGTGTTCAAAGTGTATTTCGTCAAGTGTCTTCTAATCCATGCGAGAAAGAAAGTAGAAAATAGTATCTCCAAAACTTGGCTTTATAAATTAAAGCCCTTTTAGAAGATAAGATGTAAAAAGAGTTGCTTTGGCCTTTGGGTTCCAGCAGTAATTATGATTTTCTATTTCTATTTTGTTTGTCTCATATATAATGAATGAAGAAATAGCCTTACAGTTGAGCATTTTTTTTTACATCCATAATTGTTGAAAGCTATTTGTGCACAAAATACACAAAGGATTTTCCTTTCCTTCTTTCTTTGCAAGCCAATTTTACTTTTTAGTCCTAGTGACTCCCTTCTCCCAAATGAAGTAATGAGAGGTCATAACATACAGCTTAGAAATAATCAGAAATGCAGTCTCTACTTCTGGTGTCATTGAATTGCTGGGTAGTATCTACCTAGGGACCTAGGATAAAAGTATGTTAAATTACATCCTGATGAGTCAGGTGCAGTGGTACACACCTATAATCCCAGCATTCTGGGAAGCTGAGGTAGAAACACAAATTTGAGTCAAGCCTAGGCAGCTAAGCAAGACCCTGTCACACAATAAAAAATAAAGGACTGGGATGTAAGTCAGTGCACAGGCCTTGGACTCAATCCCCAGTCACATTTAAAAAAAACAAAAAACACTCTGATAGCACTAAACACTGGCATATCTTGACTCCATATTGCTAGATGCGGTGGACTTGGCATCCTCTTCCAGAAATGCTGTTTTAGCTGCCCTTTACTGGTAGTAACAAAGGGAGGAGGAGAGGTCAAGGTTTAAGTTCCTTACACTTCTTCACCAGGTTAGCTGTACTTTTATGTTTCACTCTAGATCCACATGAAATTTCATTTGTGAAAAAGAATTCTGACTACCATTAAAATTTTCAAAAAATCATACAGTGTTCTAACTCCCTCATTTAAAATTGTCTCTCTGTCTCTGTCTCCCTCTGTCTCCATCTCTCTCTCTCTCTCTCCCCCTCTCTCCAGGCTGTCCTTGAGCTCTGTTTAGCCCAGGCTAGCCTCAAACTTGCGGAGATCCTGCCTCAGCTTCCTAAGTGCTGGGGTTGTAGGTGTTTTGCCACTGTACCTGGCCATGTCATTTTTCTTTGTATCCTCAGTGTCTTTTCTTTTCATGTTTTAAAAGATGCCTGAAAACTTCATGCCTCCTGTTCCCATCACGTCACCAATAATGAACCCTTTGGGTGACCCCCAGTCACAGATGCTCCAGCCGCAACCTCCAGTGCCAGGACCACTGTCAAACCAAGCTTCTTACCCGCAGCCACATCTCCTGGGCAGCCAACCCCTCCATGGTCTGCAGCAGCCGCTCAGCCAGGCTGGTGTGCCCACAGCTTTCCCGAAGCCCAACATCGAGGGTGCCCCAGGGGCTCCAATTGGAAATACCATGCAGGTAACAGTAAATCCATGGACATGGAATGACAGATGGTACATTTGCTTTCATGTGTTAACTTTTATGCTTATACCATTATTAATATTTTAAGTTTGGTTTTGGTGTAGACAACCTAAACAAACAATGGTAACCCCTTTCTTTTATTTCTTTGAATTTTTTTGATTTGTTGTTTTGAGACAGAGTCTCATTATGCAGTTCAGGCTGGTCCTGAACCCACTGTGTAGCTCAGGCTGGCCTTGAACTCATGGAGATGCTCCTGCCTCAGCCTCCTGAGTGCTGGGATTATAGGCATGTGCCACGCCTGGCAGTAATCCCTCTTTTTAAAAATTGCTCATGTATGTATATTATTGTGCAATTACATGGCCACATCATACAGTTGTGGTTACTGACTAGATCAAGTAAAGTACTGTAATTGCCAAGTTACGTAAACATTCGTTCTCCAATATGTAACTCTCTTCCAAAGCTTGTATGATGTGGCTACCATCTGTCTTAATCTGTCTCTAGTTTGGTCTTGTCTTCTCTTTGCTTAGAATATTACAGCTTTCCATTGGTCTTGGGCTAAAGACCAAACTATTTTACAGGCTCTAGGAATAAAACATAAAATGGCAGGATAAACAGAAATAAGCAAACAAGCACCTCAAGCGGCCACTCTAACTAGCCAACCATGTTTTCCAAGACCTTGCTTCTGTTTCCTGCTGGCACAGTTTACTCTTCCCATCAGTCACTTTCAGTAATGGCCAGTACACGTCCCCTAGTTAGCGCCTGCCCAGTCTTACTTGGGAAAATGCAGCCGATGGGAGGAGGGCTTTACCTTAATCGTCTGATTTCAGTTGTACTTTCCTTAGTCGTTTTACATGTTCACCATGTCATTTTGAGTAGGTCTGTCTACAAGATTTCTGATTTCCCTTCGTTGCATAGATTCAGAACTTTGTGTATAAGGTTCCTTCTTTTCATTTCTTTTGGTTTTTTTTTTTTTGTTTTTCTTTTTTTCCAGTACCCGGAATCGAACTTACGACCTTGTGCTTGCCAGGTAGGCGCTGTGCCTCTGAGCTAAATCCCCAGTCCACCTTATCATTTCTGATACTGTTTTTTTCTAGCATGTACAGTCTTTGCCAACAGAAAAAATTACCAAGAAACCTATTCCAGATGAGCACCTCATTTTGAAGACCACATTTGAGGATCTTATCCAGCGCTGTCTCTCTTCAGCCACAGATCCTGTATGTATTTTTTCTCATATTTTGCTTAATCAAAATAATTCTTCATGAGCTCTTCTATTATTGCTTGAAGTTCTACAAGATATAGTCCTTTAAAAAATTGTAGAAAACGAATAAAGCTAGCACTTGATTACATGTAGAAATATATTTGTTTCATATATAAACATTTAATCCTAATAGTAACTCCAGGATAGGTAGACTTCTCCTTTTTGTTATACAGATAAGGAAATTAAGGCAAAGAACAGTTAAGTCTTCTTATTTGAGGTCAGGGCCAGCATTTCAGCCCAGACATTCTTGCACCAGATTTCTGCAGACCTCCTCTTTGGTACATAAATAGAACAGAACAGTAGTCCACAGAAAACTCCAGTTTGGGGCTTCCTTCTAAATTTACAGTTGAAGCTTTTGAAACTAGATAGATTCTCTTTAACTTTGTAAAGATCTTAAAGATAGCTTAATATTGTAGATACTGAAGTCTTAATCATAGTTCAAGCAACTGATTTTTATTTACTTAGAGGATGGCTGCCAGTGTATTGGCAATGACAAAAGCCCTACAAAGCTAATCTTGTTTTAAATGGAACCTTGTTTTCTGCCAACAAATATTGAATATATTTCTTTCAAGTCACTGGCCACTTGTCTACTTGCAAAAGACGGCTTCTGGAATGTGTTGTTTTGTCTGCCATTGAGCATTAATATGTGCAGCCTTCTACTAGCCTTGGGAAAAGCAGTTCCTTTTACTGAAAGTGTCATGAAACCAAGGGGCGAACAGAAACCGCAGTGCTGGCCTTTCTGGGATGAATGAGAAGCCAGAGCACAGGTGAAGTGATAAACAGATACGCACTGTCCCCTGAGTGGATTGGTTATAGTCATTCAGAAATGGAGGCATTCTAATAAGAATGTCGCAAAACTCCAGTCCTCCCTCAGGCATGAGGCAACACAGAGAGATTGGGAGGACACATAATGCATGGTCTAGTACTGTCAGTTCTGGTTGCATTTTACCTCCCCTGGGTCAGCATTTCATCTCTCTTCGGAGTGGATACTGAGGAGCCCAGGGCAGACCAGAACCATAGAAGACAAGCAGTTACTGTAATAGGGGAGAAATTCTACGACCCTTCCCTGTTGTCCCCTTACCTTGAGGTAGGGCTTCTGTTTGTAGCTGTGCTATAGGGATATCCTTCTGCAAAAGTCCATTTTAATCAGTAGTTGGAATAATTTTTATAGCATAGTGTTACTCTTGGTTTTGTTTTAGTTATGTCCAAGCAGCACAGAGTGATTTTGTGACACAACCTAGCATGTGATATGCTTGATGGCCTCCTCTCTCCTCTGTCCTCTCCAGACCCGCAGGCATTCATTCCTTCATCAGACTTCCCCCAGAGCATGTGAGAGAAACCTTCCCACAGGCCTGCCTTCGCTCACTTCTGCATGTGGGAGCTGCTGTTCAAGTGTCCATTAGCCATCAGGCTTTCCTGTACTCCTCCCAGCGCTGCTGGCCCCTAACCTGTTAATGTGTCTTTGTGGCGCTTACACCATCTGACATACAGTGTGCTGTCTGTTTAGTGTCTTTTCCCACCCAGTAGAATACGTGCTCCCTGACATGTGAAACTCCCCAGCACAGCATCATCAGTATTCAATAAATATTAAAAAATGGCATTACTGTTGTACCATGTAGATCATTAAGTTAATCACATTGTACTTTTTTAAATGATACTTTTAGTCTCACTATTTATAGTAGTGGGATAGAAAGAAAAAAATTACTTTTCCTTATTCAGTGATTTGAAGTTGCCAGAAGATAGTTTCCTTTTCCTTGTCTGGTGCTATAAAAGCACAAAAAGAGGCAGGATTGAGCGTACCAAGTGTACAGTAGTAGTTTTGAAAGGTTCAGCAAGGGTCCACAGTTCCCGCTGTTTGCATCCTCTAACCCGTATAATCTTACGTAACTAGTCTGAAGACCTTCTTTTCTGTGGGACATTGACCCACAGCGCCTCCAGCGGCCTGTGACGGTAGTGCAGTTTCACACACACCTGGCCAAGTAGTTTGTAGGCCAGAGGAAATCCAGTCAGTACCCCTTCGTGCACACTGGAAGGAAGTTTCCTTCTCTCCGCTGCCTACTGTCCTGTCCTTGATAGATTACTGATGCCCATTCTAAGCATTTCTTGATCCTAGTTGCCTCCATTTCTTTGATAAAAGGAAACTGTTCAACATCGTAAGGGTGAGGTTTAGTGAAGTGAGATAGGGCAAGTTCCATGAATAAAATGCTCCAATATAATGTCCGTTTTTCCTCCTGCAGCAAACCAAGAGGAAGCTAGATGATGCCAGCAAACGCTTGGAGTTTCTATACGATAAACTTAGAGAACAGACAGTAAGTTTGGGAGAAGAACGATTTGTAATAATCAGTTATTTCTAGTTGCTGTAAAATAAGCATCTCATTAGCACTTAGTTTGGTGGCAAAACTGTTACGACAGTTACAGAATGGGCTTTCCTCTGACTGTACATCTGAATCTTGGATTTCATTCATGTGAAGTGAGAGAATAGTGCAGAAGAGAGAGCCATTTTAACGCTTTTCATAGCAAAGACTAGAAAACAAATTGGCTTGTGTTGACCCTAAGGTAGCTGACCTTTTGTTGTCCATTTTATGGCCCATGTATTGAGAAATGAGAATCTAGGCAGGTACTTTATTTGATAGGGAAGAAATCTGAAATCTTCCTTGTATTTTAAGACTCCTGATCTTTTTCCACAAGAGCAGCTGTTACACAAAGGCAAAGCCAGATGAGCAAGAGAGAGCTGTTCAGAGAGAGCCCACAGCTAGGAGCTGGGCACTAGCTGCTTCCTCACCCCACCCCTCCATTCAGTTCTAGAATTGTTTTACTTCGATTAATGAAACCCTCATTTATTAATGAGGATGGGAGAGGAAAAAACACTAGCACTTGTATATTCTTGTATGTCAGCATTCTTGCAGCCCAGTCTCCATAGCCAGTCTCATCAGATAAAAGTATCTTATTTTTCTCATGAGAGCCAAACCAGAGAAAGTTAATACAACAGTTAAGTGGCGTGGTCCATGGACTGATCTAAAATAATTTCCATCTAAATTATAACTTGTTTGCCAAACAATGACATGGAAAAAAATGCAAGCTTTTTGTTTTTAAGAGATGACAAGGCTGGGCATGGGGGCGTGCACCTGTGGTCCCAGGACCTCAGGAGGCTGACCTTGGGAGGATCACTTGACGCCAGCCTGGCAACACAGTGGGATTCCTTCTCAAAAAGATGACAGGATTATAAAAAGCAGTTAAGAACTGGTAAATTGAATATATGGTCAAGCTTGTTGCCCTACTAACAGAAGTAGACCAAAACTTCAAGACTCTTTTGTAGATAAGATTTTATATATAAGTTGGGTCCTTACCTTAAGATTTAATGACTTAAGAATTTTTAATCTCCTTCATAAACTTAGGAGAAACTTTAAAAGGAGTGCAGCTCTTTATAAAATAGTAAGTACTTGTGTGGAAAGAAATATTAGTATTTCAGCTTAGGAGAAAAAAAATCTGGCTGCATCTCTTTAAGAAAATACCTTGGGGCCAGGGATATAGCTCAGCGGTGTAAGTGCTTGCCTGGCAAGCCTGAGGTCATGAGTTCAATTCCTGTATCGGACAAAAAAAAGAACAAACCTGGTTTATAGATATGTGTAATTCATAAATAATCTCTCATCATGAATCATTTTGTCATTGTTCTGATTTATAACTTAACTGTTGCGTGGTCTAAGAAGCTATTTCTAGAGATGGTCAGTGGTTCATACATTTTTTAAATGTTTATTCCAAGTTCTACTAAAGTATCTGGGTTTAATGTGTATAGAAGTCTCACAGAGAAGTTCTCGCATAATTTTTCTCTTGGTTGCACCTTTATTTCAGCTTTCACCAACAATCATCAGTGGTTTACACAACATTGCAAGAAGTATTGAAACGCGAAACTACTCAGAAGGTTTGACCATCCACACCCACATAGTCAGCACCAGCAACTTCAGTGAGACCTCTGCTTTCATGCCAGTTCTCAAAGTTGTTCTCACCCAGGCCAACAAGCTGGGTGTCTGAAGGACAGCTGTACCCAGCCAATGTTGCCACTTTCCCAAAGAAGTATGTTTAAAGAGAAAATTGTAAGACAAGGACCAATCCTCATCAGCATGTTTCCATAGCAGCCAATAAGAGCTTTCATATTCTTTCTGCAGATACCCACCTTAGAACTGTTCCAGATCCTGGTGCTTTTGTTTTAATCTTTTCTTGCCCATTATGATTTTCTGATTCTGCAAAGCATATTTCTGGATTACACATAGAATGGTTCATAATATTCTGACAAATGTGGTTTTTAAAAGTGTTTTGTTTGTTTTTGGAAAAATTGCATCTGGTTATGCATAAAGCAGAGCTAAAACTAAATTTCTTTCATGTTCACCTACTTTATCCATGTCAATCAGATTAAAGTGTGTAATCCTATCTTATGTGTATATAGTCTTTTTTTTTTTTTTTTTTTTTTTTTTCTTTTCCAGTGGTGACTGAGCTGGGAATATAGCTCAGTGGTAGAGTGCTTGCTGGCATACATAGGGCCCTGTGTTCAGTCCCCACCTCCACAGGGCAGAAAAACAACTGCTCATGGCAGTATAACCCTTTCATTGTGTCTGATGCTGTACCTTGGAACTGAACAAATAACTACACCTAGAAGTTGCTACATAGGTTTTAGCAAGTATTAATGAAAAGTGTGATTGCTAGCTTTAAATACCCATAGGAAAAGTGTTCATCTGCAGGGTATATTGAGCTTTTCTTTTGTTAATAAGTGTTTGTAATGTTTATTTGGGCTCAAGATTGAATTTTTTCCATTTTATAGTCAGAAATGTGCTCATACATTTTCTGTAATTTACCTGTAATTGACCTCAGCTACTTGGAGACTGAAGTCAGAAGATTGCAAATTCAGGGGCAGATTAGGGCAATTTAGAGAGACCCTGTATCAAAAACTAAAAAGGGCTGGTATGTAGCTCAGTGATTCCTGTTTGGCTAACACATACCTGCCTGGATTCATTCCCTAGTGCCACACACAAACACAGAGTCAATCATTAAGATTCCCTATAGTTGTGAAGTTTAAATTCAGGAAGAAAACTATTTCAGTCTGCCTCTTGAATGAAAGTTCCACATTTCCAGCCAGTTTTTCTGTGAAGTGAGTTTCTTATAATTTGTTGTTAAGAGCAGCAAGTTAAGGAGAAAATAATGGTCCTTGTTGAATGTGGAGAATTAGGTACTTTTATACTCAGTGCTGATACAATATTACCTAAGAGGGTTAGAAAACTGCAAAAGCAACAGTGGGACTGCTGTGTAGGTAGATGCTACCTCAAAGAAGATAGTTTATGAGACTTCCTTGGAGCCTGGGTGAAGTAGTTCGTGAGAACCTATTAATTCTCTCTGCTGGAATTCCCTGCTTGACAGTAAACTCCCCATTTAAAAAAAATTAACTTACTTGCCACGTATGGTGGAATAAGCCTGTAATTCCAGCACAGAGGCGGGTTGATCGCCATAAGTTTGAGGCCAGCCTGAGCTACACAGTGAGACTGTGTCTCAAAACAAAACAAAAATTAACCAATTTGGTTTTATAGCCAAAATAGCTTTGTAACAAAAGAGAGAACAAAAGTACCTGGCTAGCACCCGTGTGTGTTAGTCTTAGGCCTGGGGTGTCCAGACTTAGCGTCTCCTGTGTGTTTGGTAATGAGTGTTGGTCCCACTGAGATCACAGTTGGACCTTCTGGGCCTGCCTGCTAGACTGTGGCATCCATGCAAGTCTCCACTGGGAGAGCCAGCTGGCTTCCAGTGTTGGTTTTTACTTGCTTCTCTTATAATTAGGATTCATTCTATGGTATGATTTTACTAAATGTGAGTTCCTTAGCAACCAGTGGTACCTTAGTTATCTAACAGCTGCCTGAAAGATAAAGGAAGGGACAAGGACAGTGGTTTAATGCCTCTGACCATCATTTATCTCCTGAGCAGATTTGGCAAGACCTTCCTTTGACTCCTCTGGCATGACAGAGACTTCAGTTGGTGGAAGCATCATGAAGTCTTAGCATATATCATGTTCACATGTATGTATACATACATACATATGTGCTGCCCTCTGTTCTGTGGTCCCACTTCTGTGGTGGCAGCATCCCCAGATAGAGCCTCTGAACAATCTTCAGGGAATGTCCCTCACACCCTGAAGGTGCCAGCATACTTGTTTTATCTACATTTCTATAGCATCCATCCTGGTCATTGTTTTGGTAACTGTGCCAGTCACTTATATGACATTGTGTGCATGGGTGCCTCGTCATGGCCTGAGTGTGCATGCTGAACTTGCCAGTTGTTTGCCTTGTTCTCCCCCAGAGGCATGGGATGTATGAGTTTTAGGGAGGTTGAAGTGGACCTTGACAAATGAAAATGTATTGAGTTAACTAGTGTATGTGTTTTGTATTCTGGACTTAATACTTGTTTCCAGAGATCTCTCTTAAGTGTTTAGTTAGCAAACAACACTAATGCAGTTACATCTGAAACACCTAGAATGACTGTACAAACATCATTACTCAGTAATGTCTAAAACGTTTTAGTGGAGCTGCAGCCCCCATTGAAATTGAGTTTGGTTTAGGCTGACACTCTGTACATCAAGAAGCCTATCTCTGTTTTTACTGCTGATGCATTGTAGTTTTCAAATTACTTGACTTTTCTAAAACCACCTTTTATGTATCAGTGGGAAGGAGAGGGCTTCAGGATTCCCATGTGTCTCAGTTACTTTTCGTTGCTGGGACAAAATACCTGATGCCCAGAATTAAGGAAGGAAAGGTTTATTTAGCTCACAGTTTTTGGAGGTTTTAGTCCATATTCAGCTGGCTCCAAGGCAGAGTGGCACATGGCAGAGGGCAAAAGTTCATGATGCAAAAGACAGCAAAAGCAGTAAGAGCAAAAGCAGGTACAGCAGAGAGCAAGCCTCTTTCCCTGCCTTGTGTACAGGCTGTGTACCCTAGGATGAGTGTAGCATTCATACCCATAATCCTAGCATTGGACCATGAGCCAATCAAAAACTCTTAAACCCCCCCCCCACCATGACTGCATGAGGCTTTGTGAGGACATCTAGACACAAACCATAACACCATGAAATTCAGGAATCAAAAGAAACATAGACTTGGGGACTTTCATTTTTTATTTGCAAAGTTAAACCTAATGAAACAACTGAGAACACGTCTCTGCCATAATCTCTGAAAGGCTGCTTCCTGGCTCTAGAAAGTGGCACTCACCCTAGTGTTGTATTTAATTCAGTTTCTGTACTTCAGGAAACATTTACAACATCTGGAGTTTAGCAGAAATTTCATGTCCAGATAGATGTGTTTCCAGGTAGTCATGTAAATCAATAGGGACCTTATCTGAGGAACAGAACAGATTCAAATTGGACTGGAAGAAGAAAGTTCTAGACCAGTGATGGTGAACCTTTTAGAGCTTTCAGTGATACAAACAGCCTGCTGTGGCACTCCTGCCATAGGTTCCCCCACTACTGTTCTAGACTTTCCGAAAGGCAGGAGGTGAGTGAATATCACATTTAAGGAAACCTGAACCATGGTCTTGGGGATGACCAGTAAGTATGATTTGGTTAACAGTGAAGTCGTTTCAATATATATTTATCCAGTAAAGGAACTACCCACTCTGAGGACTGACATGAGAGTACAGTGGAGTTTAAAAACAGATTTCAGTAACAGGGAAAACAACCATTTCCCAAAGGGTTCTAAAATAACGTCTCGAAGCCACAGATGACCTTCTCTGGCTACCTTTGTTCCTTAAGGATTTTGGGGAGAGAACAAGTCAGTTTCTTTGTGATACTGAGGGCTGAACACGGAGCACTGAGCTCCAGTCTCAACCCTTATTACTTTTTTAAAGAAGGTGTCACTAAGTTGCCTGGACCACCATCAAACCCTTGGTCCCCTTGTCTTTGCTTCCCAAGTGCTAGGATTACAGGCATGCACCACCACCAGTTTTAACAGGGCTATGTCTGTCACAAGTGAAGATTCCCTCCGGGTGAGTTCCGCTTCGGCACTTTGATGGGAGGGATCTCATGTGTACTTGAGCCAGGCCTCTAGCATTAGGTCCGTACAACAGCCTAGGGAAGCTCAGTTATTAATTCAGCTTGCTGAGCACTACTCATAAGCAGTGGCATCTGGATTCAGCCAGTTGTGCCTACCAAAACCCTGTTTGTCCCGTTGTAAGAATAGCTGCTTCTGTAACAAGAATCAGAATTTTGATTTCTAATTTTAACCTGGCAATTCCCACTAGTGGAAAGTGATCATTATAATGGGTGACACTGAGCATTATGTGTTGGTGGCTTTTCAGGCTAATTTTCTTTGCATGGTGGAAAAGGTACCCCTGGAAAGCCAGTGTCTCCACTCGTGATGGGCAAAGGGGAGAGAGAGCCCTCTATCCATGCACCGCTCACAAAAGCCTTTCCGGTTGGCTTTGGGTCTCATGCCCACTCACAACCCCAGGGAGGTCAAGTCCAGGATGGGATGGGCAGAACTGGCTGACCCTAGTGTGCACACTGATTTTAAACCTCACCAGGACCACATAAAGGTCAGGTTAAGGAAAAAGAGAAGAGAAAAAACCGGAACAACCGGATAGCTCTTGCAGCTCACACTAAATACAGAATCAACATTCTAGACTGGAGGGGGACCTTTGGGTGGTGATCTGGGAGCTGTCTTCACCCCAGCTGCTCCTTACCTGGGAGTTAAGGGACCACTGTTGGTCAAATGATGTCACCTCACTCTGCTTCCATTGCCCAAGCAGGAGGAGGATGAGATCTCTGAACTCTGCTTTGGGCTCTGGAAGGCTACAGTCCATGTACTTTTCCCATATTGTCTTTATAAGTTAGAAGTCTTCTCAAGGAGTTGAAAGTAAACTGTTTAGTTCAAGGTCAGCCTGAACTGCATAGCAAGACCTTGTCTCAAAAATGGAAAAAAAATAATTGTGATAAGCACCAAAGTTTGAAGAAAGATGACAGACACAACACAGGCCTGTTTATATTTGTAAACCTCTTTTCCTTGTAGGGTTAATTTGATTTCCAGTCTGGAGAGAATAACACACTTAACCTTGATTGGAAACGAATGGGCAGACAGGAAAGAAATTTGTAATTTGAGGACAGATATATTTGTTTGTCCTTGAGCTCCTTAAGTTGTGACTTCTTTTGTTTTTTGAAACAGGGTCTCTTGCTGTGTAGTCCAGTTGGCCTTGAACTCACAGAAACAGGGTCTCTTGCTATGTAGTCCAGGTTGGCCTTGAACTCACAGCAACAAGTATGCACCACCAGGGCTGCTTCTGTAACAGAATCTGAAGTTTGGCTTCAGAAACACCTGGCATATGAGTTCTAGTTAGTGATACATATTTCCACTCAGCTAACCTTTCTGCACACCTGTTCCCACGGCAGGTACTGTCCACGTCTG